CAACCAGGTCATCTTCACCAAATGACGAGGTGAGATTTCCAGAAGGAGAGTAAACAAGAATGCATGGTACGGTGTTACCTGAAAACTCATGACTATAGTACGGGCTGGAAGAAATGATGTACCGTCCATGAACATCAACTGTCAATGATGTGAACTTCACATTTTCTTTAGGAGCAGACATGACTTTCTTGTGGAAATTCCCCCAAAAGTCAAAATGTAAAAGGCGATTTCTTCCACGATTTACAACAATTATCTCATCTTCATTTGAAAATGCAATGTCAAAGAGGTTACCGTACCTCACGCGAAAACTGCTCATGATTTCTCTGTCCTCATTAAATATGTGAACATGCTTATTCTCTCGATCCAAAACAGCAAAGTTATCAGAATGTCTGGAAGCTGCTACTGAAAACGGTTTAAAATCTTCATTCCCACATGAAGAACTGTATATTCGTTGAATCAAGGAGCCAGAACTCGATCGATCTTCATCTCCTGACACTACAGCTGGTATTGGCGCGACTTCAGTAACTGCCCATACTGAAGGGACACAGGCTGTCAGAATATTTTGAGGAGTTGTGGCTTGATCATTGTTTTTAAAACTGTTTGTGCTCAGTTTACCAAGTGAAAACTCCTCATCAATGAACTTCTCAGCTAAGTCAGTGTTAGTCAATGAAATATCAAAGGGCTGTGTAAATTCACCATTTGCCTCCAACATCCCCACATCCAAACGCTCGCTTAAATCATCTAGACATTAACTTCCCTACAATATACTTTGAAATCGCTCCAGTTTCTAATATTTGCCGGAAGGACATTAAATAACTTGGCAGTAGAGTCTTGAAAAGTGCCCCATTCTATTGGTATAGTTAATCTTGTTGCTGCTCCTGACCGCAAAGATCGCAGATGTTTAACTGTATCTAGTGGTACGTCAGACGGCCAGCCGGGGAAGTGCAAACGAGTTTGAGAACGTGGAAATCTCTTCGCTGTCTTACTGGTAACCACCCTATCTTAACAATATCGTTAATGTCATTTACATACCTATTCAGGACAAAACTAGCAGCTACTAGCTGGACACGTTGTAAACATTATAGTTGAAATTCCGGCAAAGGGTAACAGACAGTGTCACAATAGTCAAGTTTTGACGGCACCAGTGACTCCACTAAGTGCTTTCTGAGTCTATAACCAGCAAAGTTCTTAAGTTTTCTTATTGTTTGTATTGTTCCGTAACCGGCTCTTGCACGCTGCTTTCACGTGCTCATCCCAATTAAGATGCTGGTGGAAAGGGACACCAAGAAGCTTACTTTCATTTACATTTACATTTACACGCTTATATCCCAAAATAATTGACATGACCCCTTCCCTCGCCCCCCCCCCGCCCCAGAAAAAGAGAAAGAAAGGTTGAAAAAAAAAAAATTATGACTGCTGAACGGAAATCAAATAGAAGTTTTGTCGCGCTTTTCACCTTCTCTAGCCTCCCCCGCAGACATTTTTCCCCCACACCCACCCCTAAGATTCGATTTGGGAGCTTCAAAAGCTATTAAACTTAGTTATTTTTATACAAAATATTTTCTGTATTGGATGGTATATCAAGTGAGTACGGCCATGTTGTTTTAATTTGGTTTGTATAATTATGGCGCGCGCGCAAATGTATGGTAAGCGGCGGAACAGTGACCCCTAATGCCAGATTTTTTTAGCTCTACAACTTTAAAACGGTCTACGCCTTCCCGGAGATTGAAGGACTGGTGAATCACATTAATACTACGACAGTCACTACACTGTTCAAAACATCATTGCTAAACAACGTTTATTAACAATACACTTATATTACGACATGCCACTACACTAGCTACTTAAACTTATTGCTACGCTATACAATAGGCAACACCTGAAGTAACAAAATAAAACTGCTACAGTAGTTACGTGGTGATAGCTTAAGTTCTTTCGACATCAAGAGACATTCCATTTTTTATTGTAAAAGTGGACATTATTTTTGACGCAATGATCTTTCGATTTGTTGGGTGGGGTAGAATTGCTATTTTTTTGCGCATAATAAAGTAGGGGGAACGGGGGCATGCTTCCCGGAGAAAATGAAAATATGAACTTCGGCTGAACATCAGAAATGCTGGTTTTGTTAGTATCCGCACTGGTAGGTTGTTTTCCGTCACTGCAAAACTTGAAAGAATTATTTTGGTGATGCCCCCTTTACACCCAATATTTTTTTGCCTGGCCTCCCTTTAAGCCATATTTTTGGCACCCCCCCCCCGCCTCAAATCCCACCAGCCCCCCCTCCCCCCTCCTACCTGATAAAAAAATGAACGGTCGCTTGATAGGTTAAAAATGACTGATGTTGCTAGTTTTAACAGGGCCTTGAAATGGGCAGGACAGAAGCAATTTAGATGATAAAGGTACAGGGGAGGCTTAGTCTGCTACATAGCCGTTTTTAGTGTCATCACGCAGTGCCCCTCTCCACTAACTAGTGGGGAGGAGCGTTGCGTGACGAAACTAAAAACGGCTGTGTAGCCGACTAGGGAAGGCTAAGTCTGTTTTTAATCATCGAGTAGCGAAGCTTGGTGGGAAATTTAGACAAATTAGTTTTCTCAAATCTAAGTTCCAAAGACGTTCCTTTGCATAATCTAGAAGAGTCATTTTTGACCGAGATTATGGAATATTGGACCATATTAAATCATCAAAACAACTTAGATTTCACATCCTCCTAGCTAGATATGGTACAACTAAACCAATCTTCTATAATCTTGGTTCACCACAGAAGTGAAGGATTATACATATGAATACCCAAACTTTACCAGTTAACAAGGTATGACAAGACGACATTCAATTCTAAATTCAGTTTTAAGACTAACTTCCTAGAATACTATAAGCCTAGATGACATTTCCCAATGCATTATGCAAAACACCCTTCTTGCCACGCCCATCTGTCTTGGACTAATAATGATAGTATTTTTGATTTATTTTGATCCTTTGAACACATGCTGACCTTTGAAACCAAACGGAACCCAGGGTAGGGGACTCCCGCATAATGCAGTGTTTTGATGCTGCCAAAAAAAATTAGCAATATTATGGCTTTCATTTTATTCAAAAAAAAAAAATTCGAAAATGCCTATAAAATTCATTGTCCCCTGCAACACTGAGTACGCCATAATATTATCTTTCTTAGTTGTTTCACTTTCTACATATTCACTGGTTCGAATAGCCTTGAGAGTGAAGTAAATAATACATAATGCAAAAATTTCTACAGAGCAATATGTTACCTACTTTTCGTTATCTTTTGTTCTATAAAATGTATAAATTATATTGTAGTTAATTTATTTATCTCGGGTAATTTTTATTTCTCTTTGTTTCATTTTCATTAGCATATATTACCATACCCAAAAACAAAAGATAAACAAAAATTACCTGAGATAAAAAAATAACTACAACATATACATTGTTTACTGGCATTAGGGTATTCATGTTTTAAACATAACAACTTTGCCACTATGCTATTCATAAATTTGTAGGTGAATTATTCTTATACAAGATATATATCCTGCATCATAGTGACAATGATTGTGTTAGCCAATACTATTCACCTCTCTGAAAGTAGAGTTGTTATCTGTCCTTCCAAAATAACGTGACAGGCACAAAATCTTTATGGGAGTTTATTTTAGCAGATTGGCGATTTTTTGTGTTTTGCTGTAACTAATTTTTGAGTCACAGATGGGTTTTTCTTGCTGTGAATGGTAATTTTTGCTATTTTAAATAAGCTCCACACGAATCATATTTTCATGTTTATTGAGTACGTGGAATGGATAATAAATACTTTCAAGCAATACTATGGTGTGCGTACCCTATGTAAAACCAGTAAACCAGATTACTTTTCTTTGTCATTTGATTACAACATCTGCAGTGACTGATTGTTCTTATGATCAATCAGAAGTGATCTCATTATCAGCTGATGCATCGTGTCGCCTACCAAACATGGTGAATTTAATTTAAAGTAAATTTTTTCCAGAAAAATATTTGTGGTAACTTTTTTGGCAGGAAATTTTTTTTGCAGATTTTACAGAAATTAGAACCCGCCCAAATTTTGTGCCATACGGTAGTCTTGCCAACATAAGTTAATTTTGTTCTGGCGTTAAGAGCTGTCTACTGCGATTCGAGAAGTTCATACGATGAGCTCTTGAGAAAAGCTAAACTCATGACACTAGGCTGTCGCCGATTGCAGGATATAGCCATAATTATGTATAAGGCAAAATACAATATATGCCCTCTGTACATAAAGGACATTTTTAAGCTAGATAAACCTCGCTATGGGCTCAGAAATTCTGGTGACTTTTTTATTCCTCGATACAACACAAAAACTTAAGGGTGACATAGCCTAAGATACGTGGGCCCAGTAATATGGTCTAAACTAAAGCAAGGATGTAAAAAACGCAGAATCAATTAACAGCTTTAAAAAGAAAATTCGTAAGGTAGATCTTGAACAAGGAATCGCAGAGGGCTGTAAAAACTGCTTTCTATGTTGTACATAAATGACATTTTCTAGACAAAAAGGACACCTCTTAATCAATAAGTATTATTTTATATGATTTAGGATTTAGGATGTATATTTTTGTAAATTTTATTCTTTGTAAATATTTTTTTATATATTAATTAGAGCTGATAGTATTTTAATTTAGTGTCCCCTATAAGTAGGCTTTACATGGCCAGCTAGAAGACCTGACACTGAAATAAATTTTATCATCATCATCATCATCATCATCATTATCATCATCATCATACATCACCATGAAAAACAAGTGCAGGATTGTATTGTTTTTTAAAAAAATAAATCCTCACAAACATGACTTACAATAATATTATAAATCATGCCTAGCCCGCTGACGTTACTTTCCCATACAAAATCCTTACAGTGACATTTGTTTGTTGAGTCAAAGCAAGAGACCAGAAATCCATGACATCAAAGCGGCATGCAGCAATAATTATATATATATAAATACACTCATTTAACAGTAGGTGAGCATTTCTACATATCCATTTCCATCATCAACCTCAAAACAAACGAGCAAACTCTTGAAATTCTTAGTAAAAGCTATATCTGCGGGTTTATTCTCTGTCTCAAAACAATGTAGTCGCTGTCCAGCTTGGTTGTAAAGGTGAACTGTTAAAGTGTCAGTGTCAGTTACTGCAAGGATGCCACTGCTATGATCAGCTGCAATAGCAGATGGTGATCTCAGCTGTTTGTCCTCAAACATGTTTATAAAAGAACCAGTTTTGTCAAAAACTATGACTCTACCACCACAGCGACCTGAGTCTATGACATAGAATCTACGATTCAAGAACACTGCTTTTTCAGGACAGCCAAGGTGTTCCTCACCAAATGACATGGTAAGTTTTCCAGATGGTCTGTAAACAAGGACACAAGGCAGAGCATCATCCTCTCTTTCATCGTCATAGTTTGGGTATGAAGTGATTATGAAACGGCCATGAAAGTCAACTGTACATGATGTAAACTTGACTTTTTTCTTGGGAGCAGACACAGCCCTTTTGTGAAAATTTCCTTTCATATCATAATGTAACAGACGGTTTTTGTCACGATTCAAAACGACTATCTCATCTCCATTTGAAACAACAATATCCCAAAGATCACCATCCTTAATATGAAACTTATTCAACTTTTTCCCTGCCTCAGTAAAGATATGCACAACATTCGCTTGTTCATCTAGTACCACGATGTCACCACAATCTCTGGAAGCTGCCACCGAAAAGGCATCAAAATGAGAAGTACTCCCTATGCGTTGAATCAAGGATCCACATCTTGAATAATCTTTCGCCTCTGATGTTTCCACTGGTTTTGGCTCGAATGCTTCCCAGGATGACGCAGTAAAAGCTATTGGAGTTTCTTGATCAGTTTTTATATTCAGTTTACCAAGTGAGAACTCATCAAAAATGAACTCCTCAGCTAAGTCAGTGTTAGTCAATGAAAGTTCAAGGGATTGTGTAAATTTACCATTTGCCTCTAACGAGCTTATATTCAAGCTCTTGCTTAAGTTATTTATCGTATTGATGACTCTTACCATCTCCCATCCTCCATGTTGTATGGTGACTTGCGCGCTATTAATTCGATCAGACGCATTTTCGCACAATTTCACAGTTCCAGATTGCAGAGTTTCGTATGTTACTTCATTACGATCATACGTCGCTTTGATTTCATCAAGCATTTTCTGTCCTTGTTTTCGTGCCGCCTTAACAACTCCTTCCACCAAAGATTGTACACGGTGCTTCATCTCATCACATTTTGTTTTGCTATTGAAATACCGCTTTTCCATCTCTTTAAGAGCCTCTTTAGCCCCTTGTAGCTCTTCCTCGCAGCTTTTCAGAGCTTCTTTGAGATAATGTTTTTCTTTTCGTCCAGGTGATTGCTCGATCAATCGAACCAACAAATGATTCTTTGGAAAAGCTGCCACTCCACCCTTTGGAATGACGGATTCGACTCGACAAACCGGACATTCCAGAACGTTGTTTCTTTTCTTTTTCATCCCTTGTAAACACTGTAGACATACATTATGAGCACAGTTTGGGAGGCATTTGGGTTCTTCAAAGTCTTCATAGCAGATAGGACAACTGATTTCATGTTCAACTGCCGAGACCAGATCGTGTTCAATGGATGAAGCCATATTGGAGCCACGTTACTTTTCTTTAAAGATCAGTTTGGGAGGCATTTGGGTTCTTCGAAGTCTTCATAGCAGATAGCACAACCGATTTCATGTTCCACTGCCGAAACCAGACCGTGTTCAACGTATGACGCCATATTGGAGCCACGTTGCTTGTCTCTGAAGTCGCCTGGAATGCGGGCCCAGATCTACTCTTCTATTAAAGCGAAACTAACCTGCGATCAGGCGATTTTTTTTTTCTTTTTTGGCAAGAAAAAAAAATACCCTTTCTTTCCCCCGACAAAATAAAAATAAAACATAAAAAAAATATCACCTGATCGCAGGTTAAAGCGAAACCCAAGTCGTCGTAGCTTAGGCAAATCCGAATCCAAGTCTAAAATGGTTCACGAATATGCTGCAGTTGATCGCGGCTCTTGCACTCATGTGCGTCTATTAGCCGAATACCTAAGAAAAGGCGGGAGGAAGTGCATTGCATCGAAATGAAGGTCATACTAGCCTGCGTAGCCTAAGGCGGCCCACAAATGTCACGGCAAAACCAAAAACCTAACGGCAAAACCATAAGCCTCACGGCAAAACCAAAAACCTCACGGCAAAACCAAAAACGTCATGTCAAAACCAAAAACCTCACGGCAAAACCAAAAACCTCACGGCAAAAACAAAAACCTCACGGCAAAACCAAAACCTCACGGCAAAACCAAATACCTCACAGCAAAAACAAAATAGCTTTGGTTTTGCCGTGGGTATTTACTTTTGCCGTGAGGTATTTGGTTTTTGCTGTGAAGTGTTTGGTTTTGCCATGAGGTCTTTGGTTTTGCCGTGAGGGTTTTGGTTTTGTCGTGAGGTATTTTGTTTTTGCCGTGAGGTTTTCGGTTTTGCCGTGAAGTATTTTGTTTTTGCCTTGAGGTTTTTGTTTTTGCCGTGACAGTTGTGGGCCACCGTACGTAGCAGGTTGGAAGGGACGGAAGGAGCGCGCTTCCGCTCCCCCCGCCTGTACCTTCCTCGCGTGTCTCTTTGTTTCTTGCACCAATTATTTCCAAGCGCCTGCTACGCCGGCTTGGATGCTGAAACTAGTTGAATGAAGAAAGTCACTCTTTCACAAAATTAAGCTAAAAACTTTTCTCGTTGAAAAATCTGCAACACAGGGACCAGGGTTTGATAGCATAGCTCCACAAGCAATTCCACTTTTATCAAAAACGTCCAAAGCACAATCCCAAGGAGGTCCTTTATCATCGGTACCAATCGGATGTAATCTCCCGCATAATGCAGTGTTTTGATGCTGCCAAAAAAAATTAGCAATATTATGGCTTTCATTTTATTCAAAAAAAAAAAATTCGAAAATGCCTATGAAATTTATTGTCCCCTGCAACACTGAGAACGCCATAATATTATCTTTCTTAGTTGTTTCACTTTCTTCATATTCACTGGTCCAAATTGTCTTGAGAGTGAAGTAAATAATACATAATGCAAAAATTTCTAACTTAGATTTCCATTTCACTACAGAGCAATATGTTACCTACTTTTCTTTCTCTTTTCTTCTAAAAAATGTATAAATTATGTTGTAGTTAATTTATTTATCTCAGGTAATTTTTACTTCTCTTTGCTTCATTTTCATTAGCATATATTACCATACCCAAAAACAAAAGATAAACAAAAATTACCTGAGATAAAAAAATAACTACAACATATACATTGTTTACTGGTATTAGGGTATTCACGTTTTTAACATAACAACTTTGCCACTATGCTATTCATAAATTTGTAGGTCAATTATTCCTATGCAAGATATATCCTGCATCATAGTGACAATGATTTAGTTAGCGAATACTAATCACCTCTCTGAGAGTACAGTTGTTATCTGTCTTTCCAAAATAACGTGTCTGGCACAAAATCTTTACGGGAGTTTATTTTTGCAGATTGGTGATTTTTTGTGTTTTGCTGGAACTAATGTTTGAGTCACAGATGAGTTTTTCTTGCTGTGAATTAATTTTTGCTATTTTAAATAAGTTCCAGACAAATCATATTTTCATGTTTATTGAGTACGTGGAATGGATAATACATAATTATTTTGAAGCAATACTATGGTGTGCGTACCCTATGTAAAACCAGTAAACCAGATTACTTTTCTTTGTAATTTGATTACAACATCTGTGGTGACTGATTGTTCTTATGATCAATCAGAAGTGATCTTATTATAAGCTGATGCATCATGTTGCCTACCAAACATAGTGAATTTAATTTAAAGTAAATTTTTGCCGGAAAAATATTTGTGATAACTTTTTTGGCAGGAAATTATTTTTGCAGATTTTACAGAAATTAGAACCCGCCCAAATTTTGTGCCATATGGTAGTCTTGTCAACATAAGTTAATTTTGTTCTGGCGTTAAGAGCCGTCTACTGTGATTCGAGAAGTTCATACAATGAGCTCTTGAGAAAAGCTACACTCACGACACTAGGCTGTCGCCGATTGCAGGATATAGCCATAATTATGTATAAGGCAAAATACAAAATATGCCCTCCATACATAAGGGACATTTTTAAGCTAGATAAAACTCGCTATGGGCTCAGAAATTCTGGTGACATTTTTATTCCTTGATACAACAAACAACTTACGGGAGACATAGCCTAAGATACTTGGGCCCAGTAATATGGTCTAAACTAAGCAAGGATGTAAAAAACACAGAATTAATTTACAGCTTTAAAAAGAAAATTTGTATGAACAAGTAATCGCAGAGGGCTGTAAAAACTGCTTTCTATGTTATACATAAATGACATTTTCTAGACAAAATTTAGGACACCTCTTAATCAATAAGTATTATTTTATATGATGTAGGATTTAGGATGTATATTTTTGTAAATTTTATCCTTTGTAAATTTTTTTTTATATTAATTAGAGCTGATAGTATTTTAATTCAGTGTCCCCTATTAGTAGGCTTTACATGGCCAGCTAGAAGACCTGACACTGAAATAAATTTTATCATCATCATCATCATCATCATTATCATCATCATCATACATCACCATGAAAACAAGTGCAGGATTGTATTGTTTTTTAAAAAAATAAATCCTCACAAACTTGACTTACAATAATATTATAACTCATGCTTAGCCTGCTAACGTTACTTTCCAATACAAATCCTTACAGTGACATTTGTTTGTTGAGTCAAAGCAAGAGACCAGAAATCCATGACATCAAAGCGGCATGTAGCAATAATTAATACACTCATTTAACGGTAGGTGAGCATTTCAACATATCCATTTCCATCATCAACCTCAAAACAAACAAGCAAACTCTTGAAATTCTTAGTAAAAGCTATATCTGTGGGTTTGTTCTCTGTCTCAAAACGATGTAATCGCTGTCCAGCTTGGTTGTAAATGTGAACTGTTAAAGTGTCAGTGTCAGTTACTGCAAGGATGCCACTAATATGATCAGCTGCAATAGCAGATGGTGATTTCAGCTGTTCGTCCTCAAACGTCTTTATAAGGGAACCAGTTTTGTCAAAAACTTTGACTCTAGCACCACAGTGAGAGTCTATGACATAGAATCTACCATTCAGGAACACTGCTTTTTCAGGACAGCCAAGGTGTTCTTCACCAAATGACATGGTAAGTTTTCCAGATGGTCTGTAAACAAGGACACAAGGCATAGCATCATTCCCTTTTTCATCCTTACAGTATGGATATGAAGTGATTATGAAACGGCCATGAACGTCAACTGTACATGACGTAAACTTAACGTTTTCCTTAGAAGCAGACACAATCTTTTTCTGAAAATTTCCATTCATGTCATAATGTAACAGACAGTTTTTATCACGACTCAAAACAACTATCTCATCCTCATTTGAAACAACAATATCCCAAAGATCACCATCCTTAATATGAAACTTGTTTAACTTTTTCCCTGCCTCAGTAAAGGTATGCACAAACTTTGCATCGTCATCCAGTACCACGATGACACCACAATCTCTGGAAGCTGCCACCGAAAAGGCATCAAAATGAGAAGTACTTCCTATGGGTTGAATCAAGGATCCACATCTTGAATAATCTTTCAACTTTGATATAAACACTGCTTTTTTTGACATGGATGCTTCCCAGGATGGCGCAGCAAAAGCTATTGTGGTATCCTGAGGAGTTGCAACTTGACCATTGTTTACATTCAGTTTACCAAGTGAAAACTCATCATCAATGAACTCCTCAGCTAAGTCAGTGTTGGTCAATGAAAGTTCCAGAGATTGTGTCAATTTACCATTTGCCTCCAACATGCTTATATTCAAGCTCTTGCTTAACTTTTTTAACGTTTCAGCCAAAGTATCCTTGATGACTCTAACCACCTCCAATCCTCCATTTTGTATGATGACTTGCGCGCTTTTGATGCGATTAGACGCATCCTCACACAATTTCGCAGTTCTAGATTGCACAGTTTCGAAGATTACTTCATTACGATCATATGTCGCTTTGATTTCATGAAGCATTTTCTGTTCTTGTTCACGTACCGTTTTAATAACTCTTTCCGCTAAAGATTGTACACGCTGCTTCATCTCATCACATTTTGTTTTACTACAGATATACCGCTTTTCCATCTCTTTAAGAGCGCCTTTAGCCCCTTGTAGCTCCTCTTCGCAGCTTTTCACAGCTTTTTTAAGATAAAATTTTTCTTTTCGTCCAGGTGATTGCTCGATCAATCGAACCAGCAAATGATTCTTTGGAAAAGCTGCGACTCCACCCTTCGGAATAACAGACTCGACTTGACAAACCGGGCATTCGATAACGTTGTTTCTTTTCTTTTCCATCCCTTGTAAGCACTGTTGACAAACATTATGAGCACAGTTTGGGAGGCATTTGGGTTCTTCAAAGTCTTCAAAGCAGCTAGGACAACTGATTTCTTGTTCAACTGCCGAGACCAGGTCGTGATGAATGGATGTCGCCATGTTGCTTTTTCTTTCTCCTAAAATGCGGGCTCAGGTCCTCTCTTCCAAAGTGAACAGGATACCCAAGACGAGAGACTCAATGCTGTAGCTTATCGCGGCTCTTGCACTCATGTAGCCTATTAGCCGATTGTCTCTTACTGAAATCATACCCTTCAACATTCACAACAACTTAACTTTCATTATAAAATCAAAACGATCTACCTAGATCTGACAAGAAAGAACCCTTCTAGGAAAACATTAGTGAAACTAAGAATAAGAAGTCACAAACTTAGGATTGAGACAGGTAGATACGACAAACTTAAGATAGACTGCTTGCAGTCCGCCTTTTCTCTTAAAATCCGTCCAGTTTTTATCTCATCCAGCGCGATTTAGGGATTGTTCGATTGAGACGAGACGAGAAAAGACGGACCGCTGACTCTTTTGTAGTAAACAAACCCTCCGTCAGCCCAGAAACGGAGTAACCGATTGGTCAATTGCACAGTTGTTGACAGATCATTGACTGGTCCATGGTGAGATTCCCTGCTAGCAGAGGTCTCCCTCGTCGTGAGAGACCTCTGCTAGCAGGGAAGTGGTGAGATTGCAAGTAATAAAAATAGTCACGCGTCACAACCAACTGCAAACAATAGCGAACCAAGCAGTAATCTCCATAATAAAGAGTAATAAAACTTTTATGGATATCTTACAGAAGGAAACTGCTGTAAATTTCCTCAAGGCAAACGAATTCAACCCCCAATCTTACCGCCTTTAAAGAAAGTGTAATTTTTTCTGTTCTTTATTAGCCTGCAGTGCAGGCGTTTTCTTTGAGCGCTCAATTTGCTCTTCTTTCGCCCTTGCACCTACCTTAAGGGTTACTATTTCTACTCACCCCAATCTTCCACTGTCATAAAATCAAAGATGGCGGCTACAACAACATTACGAACACGAACAAGGTTTCGCCCACCCAAAATACGCCTGTACTGCAGGCTAGTTGTTTATGTTCTTTTTATAAATCGTCTCAAGTTACTCGGGTTTAATTGATTAATTACATTACCTTGACAACTTCGTTGTCCCCAGACAGAACAAAAGAGTCAGCAGTCTCTTATTTTTTCGGGCTTACGCCCTAGCTCGTTTCTCGCGACAAGCGGCCTCGCCGCTCGCGTGCTTAGGTTTCGCGTGCAGTAACTGTGTAAAGAAAAATAAGAGCCGTGCTCGCAGTCTAAACTTAGGATTGAGACAGGTAGATACGACAATATACAACGTGACGAAAGGTTAGGCAATCTCTGCAATTGTAACAGAATTGAAGATGAAACTCACTTTTTATTAGATTGTCCAAGTTTTTCTTCGATAAGAGATATGTTCTTCTCTAAACTAGAACCTAAAATACCGTTTGTACGACTACAATCACATGAGCCCTTATTATCACATCTGATGAATTCTACTGACTATTTTATTAACATCCAGTTAATTTCATTTATATCAACTTGCCTTGAATTGAGAGACAAACTTATCTCCGGAATAATTAATCCTACTGATGGTTAGAAAAAAACAATGATTAATACGTTTCAAATTATTTTAAATATCTGATTTACAAGGAATCAATGATTAATTTCAAGTAGCTTTTGCAATACTGTAATACCTTGTTATGGTCATGCAAATAAAGCTTATTGTCACTGTTGTTGTTGCCTGCGTGCAGACCTCTCCTATTTCCTTTGTTGCAGGAGACCTCTGCACGCGGGCTAATTGGCCGAATACCGAAGAGAAGACGGGATAGCCTGTTCCAGGCGTTCAGATAGTGGGGAGCGGCGCGAAGTAAAAAGGAGCGCGAAAAAATAAAAGCGAGGGAGGGGGAGAGGTGAGCCCCCCTCTACTTTTCATTGCTTTCTTGACTTCGCACCGCTCTCCACTATCTGAACGCTAGGAACAGGCTAAAGACGGGAGGAAGTGCATTTCATCGAAACTAACCTGAGCAGCAGGTTACGTTGGAGAGAAAAAAACGGAGGAAGCGCGCTTTCGCTCCCCCTAGCTCGCGTGCGCCTCCCTTGCGTACCCCCAGTTGTTTCTTGCGCCCATTCCAAGAGCCTACTACGTCGGCTTGGAAGCTGGGACGTGTTGAATGACGACAGTCAGTCCTTCACAAATTAAGCTAAAAATGTTTTTCGTTGAAAAATCTGCAACAGCCAGGGACCAGCAGGGTCCCACAAGCAATTCCACTTTTATCGAAAACGACCAAATCACAATTCTAAGGAAGTACGTCATTTGCATTTCATTGTCTTTTATATCGGTATACCAATCGGATGTAATCCAAGCGCTCCAAGCAGTCTGTAGATCCCTAGATCTAAAGCCCTGAAGTTTTCTCCGTCTTCTCTGTGGCCCTCATTAACTATATAAACAAAAAAACTGCCAAAGAAAACAGCAACCTTAGCGTTATTGATATTTCGGACGGCCAACCCGGATCAACCCTTGTCCTTGTTCGGGAGGATCGTTCAAAACCTCTCAGACAGACGCATCTTTACAGCTATAGAAACCAAGTATTTTAATTGACTACTTATGACAGAAGTTTAATAAATAAGACTAGAACTGAACCGAGATATAAATGACATATATGGCTGTGACCCTTTCGAGCATAAGTCCGGGCAAGTTATGTCACGCGTTACTACATGATTGGTGAAGATGAAGTAGTAACCTACTTCCGGTTTACCCTCTAAGAATATACTTCGCTCCTTTTGACAAAGAGAACCTTAACTGCACTCGCGTTTGTTTTGACAAGAAAGCATCGACATTATGGCGGCCTCTGTAGTCGATGCTTTTGAAAATGAACTCAGTTGCCCCATATGTTATGAGGACTTTGAAGAACCAAAGTGTCTTCCAAACTGCGCTCACAATATCTGTCAGAATTGTCTTGAGAAAATGGCAAAGAGAAAAAGGAAGGTAATCGAATGCCCCGTTTGCAGAGTCGAGTCTGATATTCCGAAGGGTGGAGTCGCAGCGTTTCCAAAGAATCATTTGTTAGTTCGATTGCTGGAGAATACCGCACTAAAAGAGAGAAAGTCTATGAAACACGCTCTAGAAAACTGTAAATTAAAAATGGAGAATGCTAAAGGAGACCTTAAAGAAACTGAAGATTTCTTTGCAACCGCTAAAAGTCAGGTCGAAGAAACGAAACAGAAGATCAAGTCTCTAGCGGATCAAGCTGTTTTTATGGTACGTAAACAACAAAGGCAGATGTTTCATGAAATTGATCAAAGATTACGCGATAATTTAAACGAGGGAGCTTTTGCGACGCATAAAATGAACACTTTAAAACTGTGTGATATTGCTAGCAGTTGCGTGCAAGCCACACGAGAAGAACTACAAAATGGCAGGATGAGCGTCAAAGACTCGTGCGAAGATTTGGTTCAGAAGTTGAACAATTTCTCCACAGCTTTGGATACAAGGATGGTCTGGGCAGAATGCGAATTCAAACAGTCTTTCGAAGTGTCACTGACAAACTCTGACTCATTGGAGAAATTCGTGACTGCAAAGAAGGGTTTGATTGGAGAGCTTAACATAACTTCATCAACATTAGCTGCTCCGAGACTGCTAAAGTATTCGAGGTCAGGTTATATGATTCAGATTATAGACAGCCGCTGCTTACATGGGACAACACAGTTCTCCCCATTTTCAGTGTCTGTGTCTAGACTTGATGGCCACTTTGCTGTGTTGGATGTGGGTGGAGAAATGAAGTATGTGCACATTTTCAAAGAAAACGGAGAGCCCTTGAGCAAATTTTGCATCAAGCAGGGTGACCCCTGGGATGTTGTCCTTTTGAAAGACATTGAAGTGGTTGTCTTAGATCGTGAAAGCAATCGTCTGTTATATTTCAATTTGTATGGAATTGTAAATAGTAAGAAAAAATCTGTAACTGCTCCTCCTCCAAAGAAAGTGAAGTTTTCATCCCTATCAGTTGATTTAAATGGCTATATCATCATCTCATCATGCCCATGCTTTGATGAAACCGATACCCTGCCATGCATTCTTATTTATAATCCATCTGGAGAACTTGTGTCATTGGTAGGGGAAGGGATTTTGGTGACACCTGAGAAGGCAGTATCTCTAAATGGTAAATACTTTGTGGCAGACTCCAGCAAGCAAAGTGTGATAGTTTTCAACAAAACGGGTTGCGTTATCGGAGCAATTAGAGGTTCACAGTTGGCAATTCCATCCTGTATTGCAGTGGACTATTCTAAACAGCTTCTTCTAGTTAGTGACAGTGGGAATTCTACAATACAAATTTACAACCAGCGCGGTAGAAAGCAGTGTTGGTTTCAAACGGAACATGCGCCAATCGGAGTTGCATTCACTAAAGATAGTGAAAATATGTTGATTTGCTTCAGTTCCTGATAGACCCGTTTTTGAGAAATTGTAAATGCCGAGACTAGGAATGTGTTCGAATAACTTGAACTACTTTGCAAAATATTAAGACATTACGTCTTTACCACATTCGACGCACGTAAAATGTAAAAATGTTCTAGAAGTTTTAAAATCCGCCAAATATATTTCGCTCTTCGAGCCTCGTCAGTCGAGATTCCAGGTACGGGATTTTAGACTTCGTCAGTGGAACTTGGATTCTGGATTCCAGTCTTAGTGGTATTCCAGATTCGTTGAGCTCTATTCCGGATTCCACAAGGAAAATTTCAAATCCAGGATTCCAAAATCCTGATTTTCTTACATGGGACGAGACATGAAACAGAAACCCTTGAAGGACAACAGCTGGGAGGAAAGAAAACTGAGGCTATGTTCACACTACGGACACGAAAAGCTATCCGGTAGGGCTATCCGGTATAGTATGAACAGCAACAACCCGTGTTTACACACATCGTATCCAGTATCCAGTTGGAAGACCATTCATGACGATCAAAAAAACGCTTGGCGATCGAGCCTTTTCCAATGCATCGGCAAAGATTTGAAACAGTCTCCCGCAATCACTGAAGTCACAGCAAATTAGTATTGTAAGGGATTCTTTTTTTCCCTGGCTAGACGGCTTTGACACTTTAATAAAGTTTCTATCTATCTACCTATCTATCTATCTGATTTCAACACCTTTAAGACATTGCTTCAAACTCACTGTTTTAAAGAAGCGTTTAATTTATAATTTCTTTTTAGTGTTTCATATAGTATACATCTTCGCATTTTATTGTAAATTCAAAATTGTAACTGGTAACATAGTAATTTCGAATTCAGTTTTAATTTGTAAAGCGCATTTGATCATATCCTCCTGTATGTTAATTTGCGCTATATAAATATTAAATATTATTTTTATTATTATTATTATTATTATTATTCATCGAACATCGTGATTGCGCGGTAGTGTTTGTTGCATTAAATTCCAGTCCTCACTCATGAATATTTACTTCCGTTTCAGTGGGTTTCAGTCCTCGCTCCGACTTATTTTCTTTAATCGCCACGATCTGAATAGGAATTCACACTGCACAAAAAGTATCGCGCAAAACCTATCCCATATGTAATGCGTCACAGAAATCGCGTCTAAATCACCGTTCTTGTGTGTGAACGGAAACCCTATCCGGTATGATTCTCGTTGCGGCTTAAAAGATATCCCGTGTAGTGTGAACATAACCGAAGGGAGGTTGTATGATACAACACGGTACAACCACCTGTAAACGGTTTCTCATTCTGCTTTTATTTTATTCCGGCTGTTCGTTAATCAATTTAACCTTCTACAATTATCCACCCTATCCTATTTTTAAACAAGTTTCATTTTCAGTTGCAAATGACATGCATCAAGATTTTACAGTCCTATAGGTAAATTACCTGGTTTTCTTATGTAGAAACGCCGTTTGGAAGCCAGGGATACTGCAGATAGGGGTACGTCAAACGGCCGTTGTTATATCGCATCCAATTTCTGCGCTTTAACTTGCGACTTATGTCTTTTTTGTAGAAATTGTAGTATTTCTCAACGATTTTAGAGTCATTGGGATCGGACAGCTGTGAATAGTAATCAAATAACATGTCGTAATGAAGTGTACCAACGTTCACTGCGACTTGAAACTGCATCTGGAGAAAGAACAGGAGATAAAAAGTTAGACTAACCACGTAGTTTATTTACGAGGAACACCCCCAGAAAAAGACAACGCTCATAAAAAGGAAAAGGGGATGCTTGTCGGAAATTAGTAGTCCGCCTTCGGGCCATATGCTCATGAGTACACGGAAATTGATCTCCTTCGATGAAGTCACCACAAATTTGGTAGCCAGCTCCCGCAAATGCTCGGAAATGGGACATAAGAGACCTAACAACCGTGAAAACGCGGAAATTTTATCAATCACGATAAATTTTTCGCACAGGTCATCAAACATTTTGGGGGTTTTAATTAGTTGCGCTTTGGACTAAACTATTGATTATTGATTAACGCACTTACTGACGACACGTTGCCATTAGGTAAATTGAAGACGCCAAATTCTCCTGGTGGTACCTGCGTGTCGTTGTAAACCTTGGTTGGCATAAGGGGAGTGAATGCCCCATAGCCAGTTACTGGAAAGTTCACAGCGCTATGCTTTACACTCAGTAACCATAGCAAGTTGGATAGCATGATAATTAGCTCTCTCTTGGTTCTCAAGGCGTCTGGGAAGTCTTCAACGTAACGAGAGTTAAGTGGCCGCTACAAGGGTGAGTTTCCACTGTCGCGTAATTTTAAAGTGCACATACCCGCGTAAAATTCACGTGCGTAAAAACTAAAACAGAGGCCATGTATGAAAGACCGTGCATAAACGTAAAAGTTGAGCGAGGTTTAACTTCTACGTTTGCGCGCGATCATCCATATATTGCCTCTCATGTGTCGTTGCGAGATGCCAGAAATGGGAAATGTCAGGTGATTAATGTCATCATTAGTGTGTTTAAGCTGCCTGCTTGATTTGGGCAGGCAACGATCTGGTTGGTGAAAAGAGACAATTACATACCCACGTGTCCAGCCGTTTTTTCGGGCAGGAGCCATAGCTCCTTTTCCGAACAGTGGCTGGTAATCGAACCAATCATGTTTGTGTAACAGTTACTCAAACATCGAAAAATGCCAGCGATTTTCTCAGGCTAAAGTACTCTTAACCCTGACGCCTTGAAAAATAACATCCAGCACGTTTGTGAAAGGGATAACTTTGTTAGATACCCACATGTTAACGTAGTCTCTTGCCATTTGAAACGTTACTTTGTTATACATTAACCTGCCGTCGTCGCGATATGGAAAATACGGTAGCATTCTCCTGTCATCTAAGCCGCGTGTTTGTTAAGTGCAATCATTCTTTTTTATTTTTCATAACTTATTAATGAAGTAAGATGACTCTCAAGATTGTATATACCAGCTGATTTACGAATCAAAGACCAAGCTTGAGTGGGTAAAGATGAGCTGAATATTTTACGCGTGATTTTGGTTCAAACAGGTGTGATATCTTTAGCGGAGCTATATCAAACCCTGTGCTCGATTTATTTCGTTAAGGCTTCGTTATTATGTGCTTCGAGGAAAAAACCTCTTGAGCCAGGGTAGGCATTTTGAAAAATAAATCATAGTCTCAAAAGGCCTCTTTTCTCCACTGTCTGGCAGTCTGACAAACCATTCAAGTTTTTTTTTTGAGCGCCTCACACTTTTAAGTCCCGGATGATGACGCATGTACAGTCTTCATCAACAATGAATGTTCCGTGTTGTCACGCGAATAAACCATGTGACTACAAATGGTTAAGGTAGGCATGTCTGGTATTTTACAAGCAATCTTGTATTAACTGCATTTTTTCTCTGTGATATTAAACCTCAACTTACAGGAATCGCTTGTCACCCTGCGTAGTGTAAGTGGATTAAGTAACGAGGCAAAAAGTGCGCGTGATGCAACATATGAAATTTGTAGGGTCAGGAGTCCACTGGGGCGTTCCCGGTTAAAGCTCACTAGCTGCTTTAATTATAAGAAAACAAACGGAAGCTTCTTTATTATACAGATTATAGGCTTGGCTAAATCTATAGATAGTTTACACTGTCACGGAACAAAGAAATAAATTGGAAAGCGTCCAGTGGAAGAAGCCAAGAAAATGAAATGTCATAAAAACTAATATATGAACAATTTGTCCAAGACTCAGGTCTTTGCCGCCCACAAATTCTGAGTTATTTGCCGAAACCTTTCACGCACCTTTGTACAGCTTTGTACAAATATGGCCGCCGGAAATCAACAAAAACATCTGGTCTGCAGTTCACTTTTTCTATAAAAGCTCTTTCTTTTCACTCGGGAACTAGCATACGTGCGCATAAACATATCTTCTAATACTTGAAATGGTTATACTGCTGAAAATTAAGAGGGGAGACTCTTTTTTCAATGAGACACTGACTCGGAGGTTCAAAATGCTGTGTTTTCGAAATGAAACGGATGAAACATTCTACGGAAATGGAAACTTGTACAAACATTCACTTTTTGTTTATCTTCAACCCGGTGACTTTACAATTTGATGACGTCACTGCGAAAACCATCTATGTTCTATTTTTCGCTCGCTTAACCAATTACATTAACGTATGCATGTTGTGGGGGAGTTGCCAGCGCACACGGTAGTCACAACTGAAATCATGCACGGCGCTGAGAAAGCCAGCTTTATTAAGTAAACCAATAGAAAGTTCGTTCCTTTTCCTCATAGAAAACTTTAAAAAGCTTACAGCGCTTTTATTTTTACTATCATTTTAAGTGACCAATCTGTCAGACAACGTTCATTTTCTCTCCAAGCTCGCTGTATACAGTTCCTGCATTGTGTCGTATTTTCTTCTACATTTTAAATTTTTAACATGAGACGATCCAAGGAACTACGACCAAGAGAGAATCGTAAGACCCTAGTTAAACCCCGTAAGGACGAAAAACACGCTTGTCGTGGCGTGACAAAAAATGGCGTGCACCGTGCGCGTTGCGTCTCGTTCTTGCGAGATTTCAACCTCACTGCAGCCTGCGCAGCATGGCGGTTTTGTCGGGAGCACCACTGAGCGGAGAAGCCGCAAAAGCGCGCGCGAAAGGGCGCGCGAACAATCCCGCCCCAATCTCCTCGCGATTTCTCTCCTCGCCCGCCTATTAGCGCGCCCTCACTGTTGATGTTTTGGTAAGCGGTCATCCGTTTTATGATGGTAAGTACTTCATGTATGGGGACAAAAGACAAGCTGCAGGAGTTTGGCTTTTCCGGAAACTGGGGGAATTAAGAACAGAAGTTATGAACTGCAGAGATTTTTCAGCACGTTTTCAAGCTGAGATGCTACTACCCTTAGTAAACGTCTCTATACTGGTTAATTATTGAGGGAGGCTAACTTTCTCTACACATTTGGAGATAAAATGGATAATTCAAGGCGACACTTCGACCTCGATCCCGGCAGCCAAAC